TCTTTGAATTCAAACAAATCATACTGTACTAGCAAGCTCTAATTAAGCACATACTCTCTCACTGTATGTGTATATAAGCATATATATGTATACTTATACATACATACACATGTCAAATTTTTGCTTTAATGGTCAATAAAATAACACCAGCAAGAGTTAGCTTCCAAATTTCAGTCTGGCCATCTCTCAATATTTTAAAATATGCTGAAAAGCTGCATAGAACTGTCTATGTACAACTGAGCTAAGGGCCTTAAGTTCTGAATTCACAAACTTAAAATGTTTTCCTTGTTTCATGATCAAAAACCTCCACTAGTTCTGAGATGCTATTCAGGCTTACTGAATACTGAATTAACAAAGGGTGATGAATTGAACTTCATGAAGTATTCATGAGTTCTCATTTAATGCTAATTAAAAAAAATAAAAAGGCCTATGTTAAATGATTTTAAGAGCCTGCCACAGACAGACAAAAGCACGAAAAATAAAGGCTTAGGGGAAAATATCAGCTAAAATCACACAGTTGAATTTAGGAGCACATGATTTATACCTTTGTGTATTAATGACTCTAGTTTGCAACATTTAAATAAATTAGTAAATACATTTTAAAACCATTTGCATACCAGTGTAACCAAATCATAATGATCAAAGAAACAAAGACATTTGTGCTTGTCACTCAGTCTGCTTTATGCAGACAAGTGAAAGATGTCTTTGTGTCGTCCTCCTCCAAAGTGACTGAAACATTTACTTTCGATCACCATATCAAAGGGCAATTAACTATTAAAAATTACAAATGCCACATAATATTGAGACTTGCTATGCTAGTTTTTATTTTTATTTTTTTAACGGCACTTCTGTTTGGGATTGTTTCTTCACATTACAGGTGAAGAGATGTGATGCAGAAATCAAACTACAAACTTTTAGGAAGCACTAAGAGTAAAACTTTGGCAGGTAAAACATATTCAGCAATTTGAGTTTTTGCTATTAAAACAGTTAACAGGAAAATATTTGCTGCTTATGATTGGATTGAAGATATCTACAGTGACAACCAGCTGGACATGCAGTTCTACTTAGAATGACTCTTGAACAGCCAACATATTTTTATAACTAAAAAGCTTAGCTAATAATACTGGTACATGGCTACCCACCCTTTCCAGGTACCTATTTTAAAGACTTCTGTTCTATAAAAAAAAATCAATGAATCAAAACTTTGTTTTTAAAAACCTTAAGCTTTTAAATAAGACATTTTTTAACTGACAAGTTTTAGAGGTGTGCAAACTATAAAAACAGTAGTAGGGCTTCCAGAAGGTATTTAGTTGAGGGACAATGAGGGGAGGGGCACTAAGTTTTAAAAGCTACATTGATCCTGCCATCCTTCTCAAACTATCCCAAACAAATGTGGAAGGAATGCTCCCAAATTCATTCTAAGAGGTCAGTGTTACCCTGACATCAAAACCAAAGACACTGCAAAAAAAAAAAAATTACAGACCAATATCCCTGAAAACAGAGATGCAAAAATCCTCAACAAAATATAAGCAAACTGAATTCAAAACATCTTAAAAGGATCATTCACTACAACCAAGTGGGACTTATTCCAGGGACACAAGGACAGTTCAATATCTGCAAATCAAAGTGATATGTCACGCTAACAAAAGGATAAAACCCGTATGATCATCTCAATAGATGCAGAAAAAGCATCTGACAAAATTCAACATCCATTCATGATAAAAACACTCAACAAAGTGAGTATGGAGGGAACATACCTCAACATAAAAGAGGCCACCTCTGACAAACCCACAGCTCATATCATGCTCAGTGGTGAGAAGCTGAAAGCTTTTCCTCTAAGATCAGGAATAAGGATACCCACTCTCACCGCTTTTGTTCAACATAGTACTGGAAGTTCTAGCCAAAGCAATCAGACAAAAAAAAAAAAGAAATCAAAGTCATCCAAACTGGTAAAGAAGTAGTAATACTGTCACTATTTGCAGATAACATACTATACATAGAAAACCCTAAAGACTCCACCAAAAAACTATTAGAACTAGTAAGTGTATTCAATAAAGTTACAGGATACAAAAATCAATACACAGAAATCTGTTGCATTTCTATATGCTAATAACAAAATAGCAGAAAATTAGAAAAACATTCCACTTACAACTGCATCAAAAACAATAAAGTAACTAGAAATAATTCTAACCAAGAAGGTGAAAGACGTGTACTCTGAAAATTATAACACTGTTAAAGAATTTAAAGATGATACAAATAAATGGAAAGATATTCCATGTTTATGGGTTGGAAGAATTAATATTGCTAAAATGGCCATTCTACTGAAAGCAATCTATAGGTTCAATGCAATCCCTATCAAAATACCAGTGGATTTTTTCATAGAACTAGAGTAAATAATCCTAAAATTTGTATGGAACCACAAAAGACCCTGAAAAGCTAAAGCGATTTTGGGGTAGAACAACAAAGCAGGAGGTTATCATGCCCCTTGATTTCAAACTATTCTAAAAAGCTATACTAATCAAAACACTATGGTACTAGCACAAAATAGACATGAATTAATGGAACAGAATTGGGGGCTCAGAAATAAATCCACACTGATACAGTCGATTGATACGTGACAAAGGAGGCAGCATGTATCATGGATGAGATACAGTCTGTTCAATGAATGGTTCTGGGAAAACTGGAAAGCTACGTGAAAAAGTATGAAATTCCATCACTGTTTGTCCCTATCAATCGTCACTGGATACCTTGCACAAAAATAAGCCAAAAATGTTTTAATGACCTAGATATAAGACCTGAAGCCATAAAACTCTTAGAAGAAAACATAGGCAGTAAACTTGAATTTTGACATTAGCAATTTTTTTCTGGATATGTCTTCCTAGGCAAGGGAAACAAAAGCAAAATTAAACAAGTAGGACTACATCAAACTAAAAAGCTTCTGCACAGCAAAGGAACCATTAACAAATCAAAAAGACAACCTACTGAATGGGAGAAGGTATTTGCAAATGAGATACCTGGTAAGGGATTAACATGCAAAATATTAAAGCACTCTTAAAACACAACACCAAAAAACGAAATAATCCAGTGAAAACAATGGGCAGAGGAACTGATAATACATTTTTCCAAAGAACACAGATGGCCAACAGACTCATGAAAAGATGCTCAGCATCACTAACGATCATGAAAATGCAAATTAAAAACCACAAGGAGTTATCACCTCACACAAGTCAGAACAGCTAGTATCAAAAAAGGACAAGAATGACAAGTGTTGGTGAGGATGTAGAGAACAGAGAATCTTCAGGCACTGTTGATGGGAATGTAAAGTGGTGCAACCACTATGGAAAACTGTATGAAGTTTCCTTGAAAAATAAAAAATAGAAATATCAGACAACCTAGCAATTCCATTCCTGGGGATTTACCCCAGGAAAACAAAATCACTGATTTGAAAAGTATATGCACTCCTATGTTTATTGCAGCATTATTCACAACAGCCAAGATACGGAAGCAACCTAAGGGTCCATTGAAAGATGAATGGATAAAGAAGATGTGGTACATACATACAATAAAATATTATTCAGCCATGAAAAAAGAATGAAACCTTGATATTCACATTAACATGAAAGGACCCACAAGGTAGTATGCTAATGGAAAGGTCAGACAGAGAAAGACAAATATTGCGTGATTTCATTTATATGTGGAACATGAAAATATAAAACAGAAACAGACTCATAGAGAACTAGTGGTTACTGAAGGGGAGAGTGTGGAAGGATGGGAGAAATAGGTGAAAGGGATAAAGAGGTACAAACTTCAATTATAAAATAAGTCACAAGGATGAAATGTACAGCATAGGGAATATAGTCAATAATATTGTAGTATCTGCATATGATGACAGATGGTAACTACACTTATTGGAGTAAGCATTTTGTAACGAATAAAACTGTCAAATCACTATGCTATACACCTGAAACCAATATAGTATATACGAACCAACTTCAATATAAATAATGCCACACATTTTCTGAAACTTCAAGGACAAAAATTACTATTGTCCAGTGAAAGGAATATGGAAGATGAGGAAATAAGAACAATGTTACCAAGTGTTACAAAGAACTGATGGAAACTATTAATGCCAGACAATTACAACTTCTATTACCAATAAGGAGGGGTTAAAGTCTTTCAAGACCCTACTCAAAAGATAACAGACACAGTAAAATATTAAGCAGCCACTATGATTATATTCATTTTCATGTTCATATTAAGATGTTCAAATATGTTAAAGAGAAAATTATGGAACTGTATACATGGCATGACTCCATTTTTATTTAAAAATAAAACATCTATCTATATAGAAAAAGTATAAAAGGATATACCTCAAAACATGAAGTAGTAGTGATGGGTATACAAGTGATTTTCATTTTCGTTGGCATACTTTATTATATTGTTTATGTTCTCTGGTGAACACTGCCTACTTCAAAGAAGAAAAACAAGAAAGCTATTTCCATTTTGGAAAAAATATCAGTGGGAATTATAACTAATATTTAAATCCCTTGGAAACTAGGATTCATTTAATCATAAACCTACCAGGATCCTCTTTACTGTAAAAAGACAAAACACTTTTAAATGTAGCCCATAAATACACTGTGGGCTATTATGAATGATTTAAGCACACCTTATGAGATATTTATGAAAATTTCTTGATAAACTAAGCTTTTAAAGAGAATGAGACTCAAGCTTACTAAAACTTTATTTCAAATCCCTCTGGGTAAAAGAATGCCTTTTTCTTTATCTGATGAAAATCCAGACCTAAAGTGAGATTTATTTTACTTCTATTTATTCCTGAGAAAGGAATCCATCATGCTTTGTTCTAGGTAACCAAATGATCTGGTATTCCAATAACTGAAAATAAAGTATTATGATTCATACAGCCAATGTTTTAGCTGTTTCTTGCATATTCACTACAGGTAAAACATACTAAGGAACTTAAATGATGAAAACACGTCTTTCAAATATTGACCGGCAAGAGCCAATGCGATAGAAACAGCTTTATTTTTTTTCCATTCAAGTTTTATCAAATGGACTGTTCAAAAGCATATACAAGAACAAAAAAATATCACATGCAATCAAACTTGTTTTGCCTTACAATCATTGGTTTTCTTTTGGAAAAGAATACACATTTGAATAATTTCTACTATTTCCCAATTATTCCTGTTTCATTTCCTTTGTTTTTTTAAAGTTAGTAACAACAGATACATTTCAGGTAACAGGTCATTATATTCTTTCTCATCTTTATTCACCCTGAAATATAAGGCATATAAAATCAAACCATATACTGTTCAGAAATCCAAAAATGTTCATTTACTTAAGATTCCAGTGTATTAAGCACACACGTGATATTTTGCAAAATGAATAAAAAGGACAAGTCATTTGAAAGCAAACATAAACAGTAATAATTTCTTACCTAAATAATTTTGATCAAATAATATATTTATCTGATAATATCCTCTATCTTTTAGAAAAAAGTGCTCAGATTACATTTAAAAAAAAGATAACAAAAATCTCACAGGACTGAAATAATTTAAATAAAGATGATAGCATGGGGACTATTACATATTACATTTTTTTCTCCCTAGACAGGAAGGTAGGTGTGAATTCACCTGAAATCAGAGGACTACAACACTAGGACTGCAAATGCACAGCTTCCAGGCTTGAAAAGATATAAACTGTCTCTGAAAGGTTCTCATGTGTCTTTCTTTAGATGAAAGCCCTAACACAAAATCAGACTTCTCAGACAGACTGCTTGTAACTGACAAAGCTGGGTCATTTTCCTTAACTGTCCTTTTCTAGCCCACAGTCAATATTCACTCAGCTAGGGCTCAAGAAAAACAAAGAAGTCCCTTTTGAGACACTCTGCCCATTAGGCTCTACATGGTGACTATTCCTGAATGAACAGTGCACGAATATAGCAACCAGGCAAAAGACTCTTCATGCCCAGATGTCTCTGGAGAGTCACTGAAGCCAACCCAGAATGCCACCCTCAGAGCCAGCCCCATGGTTCCCAGATAGGGGTAACTGTTCGTCTTCTTCTGAAGGAGCCCTAAACTTAATTCTGCAGGAAGAAAACAGAGATGTGGTAAGATTTAAGATTAAAGTTTCTCTTCATCTTGTGATCTTTCTGAATACCATTCTACATGCTAATCACTAAGATGAAAAAGGGGATAATGCAGCCAATACCAACACAGGCATTCAGTGCCAAGGGTATCAAATACGGACTCTACCTGACTGAGATTTTGAAATTGTTTTTGAAACTCAGGTATGTCCATAACTTCGGGATGAGGAAACAAAACAGTATGTAGGACATATAATTCTATTTATATCAAAATTATATACATGTGCGCATATATATTTATATATAACAATTCTTTCTCTGGTATGGTAGGATTTCAAATCGTCTTTGCTTTCTTATTTATACTTTTTAAGTTTTAATTGCTTATCATTTTTGTAATCATAAAATAATTACACTACCTCCATTTAGAGAGACAAAGAAAAAAATTTCTATAGATTCTGAGGGAGAGTCCAAATAAAAGTCTATCAAAATGTTCATGGGAGACTATTTTGAAAGACAAAATTACAGAAGAATGCAATTTCTCCATGTGATTGAAGAAAATGGTTTTGCTCACTACTCTATCCTCAGGCAAAGTGCCAGCACATGGCAGGTGTCACACACACACACACACACACACACACACACCCTCTGAATGAATAAATACACTGTTTATTTGGATGTTGAATTTCTAGACATCTGATATTTTAAAATTATTCCTTGTATTCTAGCTAGTTGAAGTTATTTTCTAATGTTTTATCTATTTTCAGTGCATTTAAGAGAAAAGTTTAAAATCAGTAGTGGGATTCAAGTTACTGTTTTATACTATGGTTTATAAAAACATCAACCAATGGAAAACTGATAAAAGGGCAAAATGGGGACTGCAGAGGACTCAGTAGCCAAGTAGCTGGCAGCAGCAGATGGGGACCCGCTGAGAAAGCACATCCTCCTCTGTCCTGCACACTGTCCCCAACGCTCTCAACCGCAACTACCAACAGCCATGTCGCTTCTCCTCCTCCCAGAACAGTGCCTGCCACCTTGACCGTGGGACATCTGCTGGACAGGTGAGCGAACAAACAAAAGCAAGAGACAGGGAAAGAAGGAGCTGGCTTCCACTTCAAATGACTAAACCTAGCACCTCCTGACTCCCAAACCAAAGGGCAGGAAATGGATCGTTTCACCTCTTGCCCTTGAAAAGAAGTTAAAATGATTCCTATTTCATTAGATATGATTTGTAGCATAGCTTTAAAAATAGTCAGATGTTACTAACTTTTAATCAATAACCAACTGTGGAATGAAAAATTGGTGTGCATTTACATTTGGTGGGGCTTAGGTCAAGGAAGGAACTAACATTTTTCTAAAAAATCTCCTCAGATTTTTAGAAATAGAGCAAATATATAACTAGGGTAATCATATATTTTATTGTACAAAGTGGGATACTTTTGAGAGTAAAGGGAAGCATCTGTAGTAATTTTTCTAGGAAAAATAATCACGCCAAGATGACAGCCATGGATAGGACTATCCCGGTTAAACAGACCTCCAATGTTACCATAACATCCTTTTTTAATGTTTGTATTTTCTTTTTTTGAATCTCCTATTAAACTACATAATATTCAGCAGTAATTTAATATTGAACAGTGAGTAAAAGCAGTTTTGTTCTCTTGAGAAGACATTTTCTAAGTGATGAAACAAGCTGCCCACCTGCTTCCCCGCACAGAAAGTTTTTTAGCATAAACTAATGTTTAAAATGGATCAGAGGAAAACAGTCTGTTTTAATTTCTCTAACAGAAAAGCAAAACTTTGATGTAAATCACTTAAGATTCACTTAAAAATTTAACTTCCCAAAATATTAACAAGAGAAGTTTACCATCTTATTCATAAAACAAGCTTCCAAATGATAAATCCCAATTATGAGGCTAGGTCATAACATAGTTTTAAAATCTTTACAAATACATTGCCACAAAACATTTCAGAAAAGCCATACAATAGTAAAAATAAAGCAGTCTAATTTGTGGACGGCATGGAATTCCCCGGGTAATGAAGCGCCGTGGCCCTTCCGGTCAGCACAGCACAGGAGGGGTGGGCAGCGCGGCGGCCCGCGCCCCTTCAGTTTCTGAATAGCAGCATCCGCTCGGAGCACGCCTGCCCCACCAGGCTCGCGTACTGCAGCACGGTGGCCTCCTCGCTGGGGTCCTTCTGCTGTGTCTTGTAAACACCGTAAGGCACGATGGCTTTCTTATGGAACACCTGCAACCGGTCAGGTTCCTTACTGCGACCTTCATCCACTGCAACAAGAAGTACTGATTAAAAAAGGTCACATATCAAACTACTTTTCATCTCCTAATTCAAAAATCACTTTATTTGAAATACAAAAATTATGTATTAAGATGTCCTCTATGAGCAGTACATTCAAATGAGGGTGTGAAGCGTTAAGACTAACATGAGTGTGTTAATCAGTAACTCTGAAGAGCTCTGCTGAAAGGCAGTGAATGTCCCCAGCTGAGAGCAAAAATACCCAAGAACTGCGTGCAGTTTTAAAAGCCTGGCCCTCCCCACCTTTATTATCTTCTCATAATGACAAAGTTTACATCTCTAGCACCTTTCCTGAGTCTGACTTAAGTGGAGCTTGCCTCTCCCAAAGACAACATGCTGCCATTCACCTCTGCTGACTCGAGCTGCCCAGCGCAGGGCAGAGGGGCCTCATGCTCTGCGGGCAGGAGGGTGAGCCCTGAGCTGTCACACAGGGCACGGCAGAGACGGTTAGTGGCTGCCACTCTCAGTTCTCCTTTTACGAGGTTTTCAGCATGGACACACTGGTCACCCAGAGGAACGTGTTTCCAGACTTCCCTGCAGTTGTGTGCGGCCTTGTGACCAAATTCCGACCAAGAGGACACAAGTACAAGTGTTTATGGTGGTTTCCAGGAAGCCTGAAAAAAGGAGAACTGCCTGGTGCCCTTTGCCTCTTTCATTTCTCAACCTCCCTTCATTCTGGTGCCTGGAACTCAGGCGTCAGGGCAGGAGTGCTAACCTCTATCTCAGAGCTTGAGGTTAAAAGCTTTTCCTAAGTTCAGCAAAGACAAAAAACAAGAAGGAAGCTGGGTACCTGAGGACTCTGTGGAACAAAACTGCCATCCAGCCCTGGTCTTCTTCTGTACAGAATTTTACAGAAAAAAAAAAAAACCTATTTTGGTGAAGCCAACTTCCTTTAGGTTCCCATTATTGGCTGTTGCTCCTAATTCTAACTAATTCAGAGAATGATGATCAAACAGTATCTCCTAAAATGGACAATGTCTTTCATCCCTGAAGCAGCAAGGCCACAAGAATCACCACTCAGTGCGGTTCTCTACCTGACCACACAGTGAAATCATCTGAGGAGCTTTTTTTTCTCTTTTAAAAATTTATTTTCAGCCAATGACTTAATTTACCTACTTAACTACATTTTCACAATTTTTAAAAATGTGTGTTTTTTTGGTATCATTAATCTACAATTACATGAAGAACATGTTTACTACACTCCCCCATCACCAAGTCCCCCCCCACATACCCCTTCACAGTCACTGTCCATCAGCGTAGTGAGATGCTGTAAAATCACTACTTGTCTTCTCTGTGTTGCACAGCCCGCCCCGTACACCCCCCACATTGTACATGCTAATCATAAGGCTCCCTTTTTACTCCCCTCCCTTCTCCCTCCCTTCCCACCCCTCCTGCCCAGTCCCTTTCACTTTGGTAACTGTTAGTCCATTCTTGGGTTCTGTGATTCTGCTGCTGTTTTGTTCCTTCAGTTTTTCTTTGTTCTTATGCTCCACAGATGAGTGAAATCATTTGGTACTTGTCTTTCTTCACCTGGCTTATCTCACTGAGCATAGTACCCTCTAGCTCCATTCATGTTGTTGCAAATGGTAGGATTTGTTTTCTTTTTATGGCTGAATAATATTCCATTGTGTATATATACCGCCTCTTCTTTATCCATTCATCTACTGATGGACACTTGGGTTACATCCATTGCCTGACTATTGTAAATAGTGCTGCGATAAACATAGGGGTGCTTCTGTCTTTTTCAAATTGGGCTGCTGCATTCTGAGGGTAAATTTCTAGAAGTGGGATTCCTGGGTCAAATGGTATTTCTATTTTGAGCTTTTTGAGGAACCTCCATACTGCTTTCCACAATGGTTGAACCAATCTACATTCCCACCAGCAGTGTAGGAGGGTCCCCCTTTCTCCACAACCTCACCAACATTTGTTGTTGTTTGTCTTTTGGATGGTGACAATCCTTACTGGTGTGAGGTGATATCTCATTGTGGTTTTAATTTGCATTTGAGGAGCTTTTAAAAGACACCAAAGCCTGGGTGTCCTAGCCCCAGAGATGCTGATTTAAAAACTGGTCTGAACAGAATCTGAGCATCAGTATTTCAAGCCTTTTAAAGTGGGCTGAGAACCACTGTTTAGAAAACACACACACCGGCGTCTGTATGTTTAAAGATGTCAACAGCTATAGTCCGTAATACTGAAAAACTGGAAGAAGCAAAATGTCAATCAATGGAGAACTGGTTAAATATGTTAAGGTGCATCCATGTAATTAAATGTTATATAGCTATTAAAAAATAAAGGAAGATGATTAAGTGAAAAAATTAGGTACAGAATAAACAGTTTTTATTAAAAGCCTCATATATATATGCATAGAAAAAAAATCTGGACAAATATAATCAACCTGTTAAGAGTACTTACCGCTAACTATTCCCTTTTGCCTACAACTATCCCTCCTTTCCCCCAGAGTGCCACACAGTGTGCCCTCTTGCTTCATCAGGTCATTATAAATGTCAGCTTCTCAGAGGCTCTTCCCTTTCCTATATATAGTAGTAACCCTGCCACTGTTCTTGTTTCCTCTTCCTTCATAGCACTTAATCCCACCTGACATGCATTTATTCATTGCCCGTTTCCCTTTCCACTAGAAAAGTACTATGAGAATAAAAATAAAATGGAAACTCATTGACTGTTTTGCCCACTACTATTCCGAGTGTCTAGTACAATGCCTGACACACAGTAGGTGCGCCAACGATATTTGCTCAAAGTACAAATCTATCTCTGGGGATAGCATTACAGGAGATGCTCACATTGTGGAATGCATGCATGTGCACAAGTGCACACACACACACACACTCATCATTTTTTGGATTTTCTATAATTAGCATTAAGGGTTTTATAATTTAAAAATTGCTTTTCAGGTTGATTTAGGTATTTTACTTCTTTGCTAAATTTGGATCTTCTGAAAATGAAGAGTGGTAATGCTAGTTTCCTTCTCTACAAATCAAAAAGATTGTCACAGATTTCTCACAGTCTTTCAGATACAAACTTTCTCAAAGTCAAATCACAAAAGTCATAACTTCTCATAACAGATTCACAATTAACATTTTATTGATAGCTATTTCATACAAGGCTCTTTTTCTGAATAGTTCAGTTGGATTGCATTCCTTTTTATTTTGTAATTAAAGCAACAAACATTAAATGTTTATTCTTCCTCTACTGATGTTGTTTCCTCTATTGGATATTCACTAATAATCAGGGTAAATCATCCAAGATCAATTTCAGAAGAGACAGAAGCTAACACTCTTCTTCTAGGGTGTAAAAGAGAAAGAAAGATCCCATTTTATGGATTCGTCTGATAGGCTAGCTGACCTCAATCATATTACAGAGAGTGGGTGACAGCATTTCAGAACATAGAGCATTATAGGCCTGTTTAGAAATCTGCAAGCTAACTGCGTACTATTACCAGAAAGAGGTGACACCGTCAGACAAGACGACATTTGTGCGTTCAGCATCCAGCCTGGGAAGATAGAGGGATGAGGAGAAAGGGAACTCCAAGGATGCCAGCCAGAGGGTGCTCACAGCCATAGAAATGAAAGCCAGTGTAGTTTGGGACTTTCACTCAATCCAGGAATATTCAGGAAAGATGAAGGAGAAGAAGGAAACAGACAGAAAGGGATCTCCTCAACACTGCTCTTTCACCCCCAGTGCCTTCCTGCCCTCCAGCACCCTGCCCCACCTTCTCACACTCTGCTGCGCTGGAGGAGGTTTAACTTGGGGTAATTAGGTTGTTTCTCCCAAAATTTCTCCTCTCTTCCTTGGCTTTGCTCTTTGGAAGCAGATCCAGCTGCTCCTGAAGCTGTCAAAGTTCCAGCTTCTACTGGTCGCCCTGGCTCTGGGGCCCCCATTCTCTTCCGCCCCAGCACAGCAGTGGCTTCCTGCTGTTGCTAATCCGAGCCACCTCTCTTTGCCTGGCTCTTGGCAAAACCACTGCCTGATCACCAATTCCCTGCATTAAATGTTCTCTGTTGTAAACAACCAGAAAGGGTTTTGGTATTCCTAGCTGGACGTACCTACTTGAAATATGTGTTGTTTCTTACAAATTACTTTATCCAACTATAGTAAAAAATCCACATACTTTAAAACATTAAAATATTTAACATTTTGCTAGGTTACCACATCCCTTACCACAGTAACTGGCAAGTATTAGAAAAGGCAGAAACCTGGTTCATGTTGTTGTTTTGGGGCATTTAATGTATGCAAATTGCAACACAGACAACCATCTCCAATCACCTGGCTGTACAAGATACCAACAGGAAAAAGACTCAAGTATGTTCAGAGTCTAATACAAATAGAAAACTAGTAATGATCAGTGAGAACAGCAAATGAGAAGCAAGAACACTGGCACACAAAAACCAAAAATTTGGGTTTTTAAAATAGGAATTTAAAAATATGTCTGTATTTAAGTATATACAATGATGTATAACAGTTTAAACCCTTATTCTAAAATATTATATGATATATTTTTAGATTTGAAAGAATGGAACACTCTAGCAAGTATATGCCATCATCTTATTTTACCTAGAACGAAATGGCACTCTCTTATTTTTATTCTTTTCTATCATGACATATAAAAATAAAAATAGAAGATTAGGAAAAAGGACCACCATTATATATAGTTTATATTGACTATTTTATAGTGTATTCCTCCTAGGAATTTTGTATTGTTTATCAAAATACATACTTCATTTCTGTCAAGATAACAGGAAAAGCTTTATCAGATTTTTGGAAAACATTACAACATACAAGTTTCAACCACTGAATTCCAAACTGCTTGTGATGTCACCAAATCTGTTTAACATATACATCTAATTTTCATAGAACTTCTAACTAGTTTACAGCATTTTTAGAGAGCCTTACAGCATAAAAATCGATCAAGTCCAATAGTTTTTTTTTTAACTCCAAATACTTGTTGAGGGATTTG